CTGACTTGAGACTTGACTCGACTTTACCTGTCTTTACTTGAGACTTGACTCGGACTTGAGGACAGAGACTTGAGACTTACTTGAGACTTGCAACACAGTGACTTGGTCACAGCTCTGCCGTGCACACACACAGGCTCTGGCTGTACTTTATTTGAGTAGGTATTTTTTCCCCTACTTTTACTTTTACTCCACTACATATTTTTGATTATTTCAATACTTCTACTCCGATCGATTTTTTTATTGGCTGAATCGTTACTCGTTACTGATATGTAAACTTAATGATAGATAGCTCTGTCCCTGTTTGGGAAGCTGGCTCATCATTTGGCGATTTGAACGATCAAGCATAGCCTATTAAAAAAAGCCTCCCGAAAGATGGTTAATTATGGCCTTCAAAAATTCCCCATCTAATCTGAAGAAGCATATCAAGGTAAATTAAAAAATGCAATGACATATAAGCTAGTAAATAAGCGCTAGTTCAGTTCTCCCTGTTCACTCAGGACGTAGCAGCTAACGTTAGCTAAAGCTAACCTAGCTGGATAGCTGTATGCTACATGCTAGCATAAAGGCTCAGCTCAGGATTCTGACTCTGGAAATTTTTGAAATACTTCTACTTGCAATACTTAAGTACCAAAAAACTTAAGTATGATGTTTAAAGAATACTTCTACTTTTACTCAAGTAAGTTTTTTACATAGTACTTGTACTTCTACTCCACTCCTCTACTCCAGTACTTTATACATCTCTGCCTGGAGGAGGGATGACATAATGCTGATGAGAGGAACTCCTCCGCAGGGTTCTGGCTCATGAATGGAGGCCGCCTCGGCCCTCTTGTCAGTTTTGTTTAGTTTTTTCCTCCCACTTTAGTTTCAGCAGCGTGCCGAGGTGGGCGGCAGCATATGGGAACGCGGTGGATGCAGAGCCTGGAGCTCTTGTCTTGTTTTGCACTAACATTCGTGGAGTTTCTTCCTATGACGTCGTCCAATTGAGGGATTAAATGAACATTAAGTTTCTTTAAAAGACATTTTAAAGTGTCTTTCTACAATGGTTGAAATAGAAAAAGAAAATCTCTCATAAACAACCACACATATAGACATATATATATATTTATTTTTTATATTTACTCATGTATAATACATATCTATCTATCTATCTATCTATCTATCTATCTATCTATCTATCTATTGTGAATTATTAGTTGATGTAACATGCATTAGGTCCCACTTGGAGGACAAATAATCCATGATTTTCTTCATAGTTAAAGCTGAAAGTGCATCATCAGATGTGCACATTTCCTTCATATTCTGGATCCTAACCTCAGTTAGCTTGTGTGTATCTATAAATGAATCCATGAATAAGGCTTTATAAGGGTATAATTGCTTGAATTTTAAGGCTGTTTAATGTGGATGGTGTGATATAGAAACACTATACAACCAAATAAGCGTAGAACAATCACTTGTGTGTCGGGATTAGCTTAATCAGCTTTTAAAATTGTGCTGAGGCTAAGCTGAGAGGAAAGAGCCTGCGTTAATGATTCTCCATTAGATAAACCAATGAAAAACAGAGGCCTGCTGAGGCTGAGCGATCAAACCACGGGCGGATTAAACGCAGGTGTGATCTGAAGTCAGACCACACCTGCTGGTTTAGACCATTTAGCATCCTTAAAAACTACTAAAAGCCAAATCTAAAGCTCCCTTTTCCCCTGGGGTCATCTTTTATGGGGCTTTGGACAAAACTAGCTTGATTTTTGATGATTCCAGTTTGTTTTTTCGCCTCCAGAAGCAGCACGGAGAGCCTGAAGGAAGGTGTGAATCAAAAGCTGAGCAGCCCAGTGTTTTTTTTTAATCAGGTGTCACCAGTTTACACTAAAATAAGAAAATGTGTTGAGGGTGACAAGTCCCAGATCGTTTCAAATGATGCAGCAGCAATCAGTGAAAAGGCAGAATGAGTCAAATTAAGCTGATATTGAAAGAAGCAATCTTTTTTTAATATAAATTGATTGAAAAGCCAGAATGGGCTCCTCAGAGAGCAGGTGCAGCTATAATTAGTCGTGCTTTTCCCTCCATTAGAAACCTGTTTAGGACTTTTTTTTTAATCAAACCTCACCGTTACAGGCGATTCAGTTCCTTTTTTGGGTGCTTTCTTTCCAAAACTACAAAAAAAAGAACCAGTTTATGCTGACAGCGCACTGTGAAAGCAGGTGCTCTTTTCTCCATCAGCATAAATCTGATCTTACATGACATTCGCATTTAATAAACGAGCTCTCAGAGTAAAAAGAAACAGGTACAACGTGTTTTTTTTTACCTTGGAGAGGCTCCTCAAAACAGAAGAGGAGTAAAAAAAAAACGGATAAAAAGATAGATAGATAGATAGATAGATAGATAGATAGATAGATAGATAGATAGATAGATAGATAGATAGATACTTTATTGATCCCCAAGGGGAATTCAAGACGAGACATGAACAGGATGTGATGTGGTAGATGCAGGTGCAATAAATCTGGTTGTGTGTGTGTGTGTTTGTGTGTGTGTGTGTGTGTGTTTTTGTGTGTGTTTGTGTGTGTGTGTGTGTTTGTGTGTGCCCAAAGGCCCGAAAAGCCCTGGCGGATCGACAGAAGGACCTGGAGGTGAAGACCCAGCAGCTGGAGATCAAACTCAGCAACAAGACAGAGGAGGACATAAAGAAGGCCCGGAGGAAATCCACACAAGCAGGTCAGAGGTCAAACAGTGGCTCAACACAGGCCGAGAACACCTCAGTTAGTCTGATCCTCCAAGAAACGACAGAAAACGGAGGTGGCAGGTCTGAGAAACAGCTCGACATTATGCTCAATAAGCCTGTTAACCGCGTCCAGTTTAGAACAAACGGTCCGTTTTTCAGCGGCGTCCACGTCTGTCTGCAGACGGGAGATGACATTTCAGACTCAGCGGGACGTCCTGGAGTTTGCGGATGTTAGCCCGATTCTTTAGCTGGAAGCCTGAGAATAAACAAAGCAGATCAAGAGTACAAATATGACATTTATTGGTCACAAGCACAGTATATTAGACCAAGTTCCCGGAGGATCTCAGTTGGCAAAAAGCCTCGATTTCCAGGTGTGATGGACAGTTTTCCTCTGGGCCTCCAACAGGAGGACGAGTGTTATTGGCCAGTTAGCTCTGACATGAACAGGCCAGGTCCTAATTCATGCAGGTTTAGGTGGAATGTGATAAGAAAGTGTGGATGTTGACCTTAAAGACAAGTATCTACTGTAACAGAGAGAGGAGGAGGAGGCACAGCCAGAGAGTTTAACCCAAAAGTAGAATTGTAAAGGGATAATATAAATCTAAAAAGGAATAAGACAATCTGTCATTTACATTTACAGTAAAATAAGCTGCCTGAGGCAGTAAAGAAACAAATAAATACAGATAAATCAAATTACTGGCTTCTGGTTAACATGAATAATAACGCAAAACAATTTAATTCAACATTTATTATGTATTTTCAAGATTTTTTTCAGTTGAGAACAGTCAAATTGACTCAGAATCGTGCAAATAAGGTGGTTTTATGTTAGGATAATGGAGCATGAGGAGGTTCCTGGAGATAAACGCAGGGATGCGGAGCCCCTTAGTGATCCCTGAGCGCCCCCTGCTGGCCGGTGGTCCGAATAACGCTGATCTGTGTCTGTTTTCCTGCAGGTGACGACCTGATGCGCTGCGTGGACCTCTACAACCAGACCCAGTCCAAGTGGTTCGAGGAGATGGTCACAACCAGCATGGTAAAGCTGCACAGACTTACTCAAATGCCGTTTTTTTTTGTCCTGGACGGACATTTTCAGGTGGATTTAAAGGCCCCACCATCCAAATTTAGTAAAGCTGCTTACTGCTGATTTACAGGCCCAAAAGAAGCCTGTGTAAGACTAGACTTGTTGAATTTAAATAGTGGAAATCAGAGAAATTATCAGCTTTGGGTTGATTTGTGTTTAACAATAGAGCTTATGAAGCTCTAAGAGGGAAGCTGGATATCTTCTAGATAGTCACAGAACAAACCAGTAAAGTGTTTAATGTAAATCTGAGATGGGGGTTTGATGTGCGGACTTAATTTGTTGTGGTAGAAGAAGAAAAATGATGCAAAAGTAGGAAAGTTCCTACAGGAAAAAGGCTTCATCATGCAAAAAAGAAGAAAAAATAATAGAAAAAAATATTCTAATTATAACTCTCTGTTGTGAAATCTTTAAAATATCGTGTGCTTTGGCTCTAAACTGAAAAAACCCCTGCTTATTTCCTCTGATTTTCATGAATCCTCTCACACAAGATAAATTAATAGAAAAAAATCTTTTAATTATTACTCTCTGTTGTGAAATCTTCAGAAAATCACGTGCTTTTTCTCTAAGCTAAAAAAAACCCTGCTTATTTCCTCTGATTCTCATGAAACCTCTCGCATAAACAGGCCTCCTTTAAGCCCCCAGAGGTCCCTGAGGAGTGTTTTTTTGTCGTTTTTCCTGCAGGAGCTGGAGAAGCTGGAGGTGGAGCGCATCGAGTGGATCCAGCAGCACCTCCGTCAGTACACCACGCTGCGCCACGAAACCGACATGTTCAACCAGAGCGTGAGTGTCCTGTCTGCTCACGGCTGTTTGTGGGTTCGGACATGTTTCCATAGTTATGGTCATTTTTCTGCTTCTTTGTTCGGATTCTGGGTCTTTTTATGAAGCCGTTTTTCTCCAGATGTCATCCTTTTTGGTTTTAGTTTCTGTTTGTTTTTATCCTTTTTGTATTTATTCATTTATTTATTTATTTATTTGTTGCTTTGTTTGTTTATTATTTATTTATTTATTTATTTATTTATTTATTTATTTATTTATTCTTTATTTATTTATTCTTATTTATTCATTTATTTAATTTATCTATTTTTTATTTTATTTGATTTTTTTTACCTTTTGCCGTTCAGCTTTATGGCAGCAGAACTGAAATCTGAGTACCGTGCTATGCTGAACAAAATTGCTTTGCCAAGGGGGGCTTTGTTAGTGAGGAGAACCCCCTTTTATCCTTTATTTAAAACATATAATTACCTCTGTGGAGTTGTCTGGTTACTTCAGCTGTTTTTGATATTTTTAACCAGTTTCTGCTATTTTTCCTGTTGTTTTCAAGCAGTTTGTGGATGTCTTCCATTTTTTGTACAGTTTTTTTTTTCTTCTATATCCTTGTTAATGCCTCTTTGCAGCTATTTAGTCTCTTTGCACACATTTTTTTCTCTTTGTTATAATTTCTTATCTCTTTTTTAATAGATTTTGACCCACTTTTTTAGTTTCTTTGCAGACTTTTGCAGGTGTTTTCTTCTCCACCTGTCCTCTCGGGTCCTCAGCCAAGAAACAGACCTGAGAGGACAGGCATTAACAAGGATATACAAACAAAAAACAACAGTAGAAAAATGGAAAACATCCAAAAACTGCTTGAAAACAACAGGAAAAATAGCGGAAACTAGTTAAAAATATCAAAAACAGCTCATGTAACCAGACAACTCCACAGAGGGAATTATTAGAGGACTTTAAGGGTTGGATTTAAGCTTTTTTTTGTGGGCTTTTCTGGCTCTGCAGACGGCAGAACCGGTGGACCAGCTGCTGCAGACCGTGGATCCGGCCAAAGACCGAGAGCTGTGGGTGAAGGAGAACAAAACCAGCGAGGTGCGGCCCGTGGACATGGACATTTAACCCCGTTCGGTTTTACGGCGTTTGGAGACGCGTCCGGGACGTTTCTGACCACACTACACGGTGCATGTCCAGACTCCAGAAGTCTGCTCATCCTCTCACTGGAGCCACGAGGAGTCCAAGGTTTAACGCAGTCCAGGAGGCAGAAAACGGATCAAAGTACCAGCATGTTCCCTCTAAATTTTAAACCCCATCATAACCAACATTAGCTGACTGAATGCCATCTGACATACTCTGTTGTTTACCTGTTAAAAAGCTGAAAAGATAAAAAAAAAAAAGAAAATGTGTTTTGAATCGTTTAGCTTCAAGCAACACTTTTCCAGTTTGACTAATCTGAATTAAAAAAAGAAAAAGAGCAAGTCTGACGAACGATATCAACTTTATTTTCGATACAGATACTGAAGCATACGGAAGATCTTAGAGTGACTATGATATATTTTCATATTTTGCCGGTTCATTTTTCGGTGGAAATGCATGTTTTGAATATCTTGCTTATATCGTACACAGAGAGCTGCACAACTTGTGGAAACATGATGGTTGTTTTGGTGTAGTGTATTGAATTTGCACAAGGTAATCTGTATCTTGTCATTCATTTTGGCGGCTTTGTCAAAGAAAAAAAAAAAAAAAGTAACAGTGTTTTGGATGGTCGGTTTGATGACGTGTACCAAGAGTACAACAACGTGTTTTTGAGCAGATTTAATCTTCTCTGGATCTGCTCGGGGGGGAAAAGGTGGTCCAAGTTATACTGAAACACCTTTTAGTGCCTAACGGTTATATACCTGGAATGTCCTCGATATATCCTTCTCTGCGTGGGTGTACATTTGTACATACTGGGTAGATGTATTTTGCTGTCAGATGTTTTAAGAAGGCCGCAGATGTTCGGGGCCAGCCAGATGTTTGCACTGTACAATGTCGTTTGCTTTATTTTTTTGGTAAATGTGCAGGGAAAATCTACACGGTTGTGTTCAGTGAAAAGGGTGGACGTGCAGCTCAAAGCTAAATCGAACCGGTTCGGTGTAAAAAAATAAATAAATAAAAGACTAAGAGACGCCATTTTGGATTTGGAAAAAATCAGAGACTGCATGCACACGTCTGTGTTTACATGTCTGTGTCCGTCTGTCGTCTTCACGCCAAACGTTTGCTCCACGTTTCTGTTCAATTTCATTTTAGGGTTTTAAAACAACAGATCTGTCTGTAAGTCAGAAAAAAGAAGAAAAAAAGGAGACATGGAAATCCATCCCTGTGTGAAACCCGTCAGGTTTTGCTTTCAGCCCAAAACCGCCTCAGGTTTTAAATAACGTATCTGTTGTAGGGATTTTATCGGTGTGTGTCAGTGTTGTGCGCTAAGTGTCTTTATGTTCCAAATAAATGTCGTTGGTGAGCATTCATGATGGCGTGACGGCTCAGTTACCCCCCCCCGCCCCCGTTCTGGTGACCGTTGTAATTAAATCCAATGTTTGAAGGATGTTTGATCATATGTGACCTCTGTCCAGAATGCAGTGTCCCAAATAAATCTCCTCTGAAAATGAAACGTCCCTTTGTATCTTTATGTAACTTTACTGGGAAGCTGGGATTTCATTAAGTCTGCAGGATGTCCAATTTAGAAATTAATTTAAGATCTAAAAGAGCCAAAAAGCCAAAAACAATCTCTGAAACTACAATCTGTTTAAGACAGAAAATGGTTTGTTTCTTTGGAAATAAGCCTTTCGGCGTATTTAATCTTAGAAATACTCAAATAGCTTATTTATCCAAGCCGATACCCAAATTAAATTAGATGGAAAAGCCAAAGTAGGTGTTATTTAAACATATTACTTGTGACAGAATCCTCAATAGTTAATCAATGAGATTCAAACTGAGGGAAACACACCTCCATTCACCCACTGCTGCCTCCATCTTTGGTATCTTTGGTTTATAAGGCTTCCTTCTGATGTATTTGCATGTGATGGCAACACAAAAAGCCCCCGGCAACAGTTCCTGTGTTCAAATTCATCGGCACTGACTCTAAGTCCCAAATGTCATTTGCACATTTTTTCGCCTACTGGACTAACTGGGCTAACAGGGCCAAAATAGAGCCAAACAGGGCTAAATCTTAGGGAGATGTGATGTGTCACTGGCAGATAATAGGGAGAAGCTTGGAAAACCTGAGGGAAATATCTTGTTTTTTCTCCATCTGGGTATTTCTGCCCAGCTTCTACGGGCTACAGGCAGTATAACATTACAGGAAAAGGATTACAGTATCATGGGTTATAGGCATATAACATATATATATATACAGTGGAGGAAATAAGTATTTGACCCCTTGCTGATTTTGCAGGTTTGCCCACTTACAAATAATGCTTGTTTTTCCTCATCAGATGGTTATCAATTTTTATAAATTCATTTGATGTGATTTTCTGGAATTTTCTTTGGGATTCTGTCTTTTACTGTTAGAATGTACATATGATTAAAGTTATAGATCGTTGCATTCTTTGTAAGTGGGCAAACCTGCAAAATCAGCAAGGGGTCTAATACTTATTTCCCCCACTGTATATATAACAAGCCCAGTTTTAGTGTCAGATAGGGGCTGAAAAACCAGATTCAGAAAGACTGCCACAAGTCTTTATTAAGCAGCATCTTGTCATTAAGTCAGTAAAACGTCAACAAGAATTGATGAAAGGATGAAAAATAAATCCGGTGAAACACATCTGTAAGAAAAGTGGAAAACAAAAAGGGCTGACACAAAGGCTGAGCCACGCATAAACATACTCCCGCTCTCCTTTAAGGGGGTTTTTGCTTTTACTGGCTCAGACAAAGTCTCCTAAAACGAGTGAGAGTCCTGTGGAGGAAGCGTTTCCCTCCTGGGTCAGCGAAGGCAAACTGACCTTCAGTTCCTAATCCGGTCGGCTGACACAGGCGGGTTGTTAACCCGAGTCTAATTCCTCCCATAAGCAGCTCTGCTCCTGACTTCTTCTTCTCACTTAGCTTAATGAGTGAACGGCGACACCTCGAAAAACCTCCGAAAGAGGCCCCGAGAATCAACGGAATAAACAAGCTCCCCTATAAACGGGTTAACTCATTGACTGCCAGCCATTTTCAGAACAGAGTCCCATACTGCCAGAGTTTTTTAGCATTTTGACTGATTTTTCAAAAGCCACAGAATAGTTTGTGCTATGACTATGTAAACACCGAACACACCAAAAGAAAGAGTAGACTCTCTTCTTTCATCAGGAAAAAAAAATTGTTTCTACCTTATTCCGTTCTTCCTGGACTTGCGCCTCACCGGCGACATGTTCTCTCATATCGAACCGTTACCTTTTTCTTATTTGCCTACAGTCTATGCTCATCTCCCATCAAGAGGGTCAATTTGTTAGTACATACTCTGTCTAGAAGCCTGATATTTACGGACAAGCTTTAGCAGATCGTCCCCCAAACCACTCTCGTTGAAAAACATCAAAGACGTCTATAGACGTCTTTGGCAGTCAACGGTTGTATTTGAATTGACGTCTAAAGACGTCTTTGGCAGCCAATGAGTTAAGAACGAGGGGTGGGGTGCTCCCCACACGGACCCTCCTGTGGTTTTTCTGCTCACAAAGTGGAGTAAAACGCCGTTCGGCCGCCTGCTTAAACAGCGTCACGGAGAGGGAAAAGCAGCTCAAACAGACAAGCAGACGGAGGACGTTACAATGCGAATGAAACAGTCTATAAACCACCTTTCTCCTTATGTTATTGCTTCTTCTCTTTCAGCTTGTCTTTGATTTTCTGGGGCTCGTCGTATTGTATCAAGCGCAGGATGTCTTTGTTGTCCATCACGCCCTGAATGAATTCTCCCTCTGAGATTTTGTCTGAAAAAAGGGGGGAAAAGAGGAGATGGTGAGCTATCAAACGTCTCCTTTTAAAGCTCTGATGGATGAGAGAAGGGAGGCGACAGAATTCGGGTTGTTAGAATCGGGCTATAATTATTCACGTTAGCATAGCATGCTACAACTTAATCCATGTAAGTTGTAGCATGCTTGTAGCAACTTATTCCTTTTTAGATTCATATTATTCCCTTGATAATTCTACTTTTGGGTTAAACTCTCTGGCTGTGCCTCCTCCTCTCTCTGTTACAGTAGATACTCGTCTTCAAGTTCAACATTCACACTTTCTTTACATATTTCACTGAAACCTGCATGAATTAGGACCTGGCCTGTTCCTGTCAGAGCTAACTGGCCAATAACACTCGTCCTCCTGTTGGAGGCCCAGAGGAAAACTGTCCAAACACCCGGAAATCGAGGCTCTTTCCTCCTGAGATCCTTCGGGAACTTTTGTCTGAGCCCAGCTGATTTACTCTGCTTGTTACCAATAAATGTCATATTTGTACTCTTGATCTGCTCTGGTTTATTCTCAGGCTTCCAACTAAAGAACCAAATCTAACAGGGTTACCGTTCTCCTTCTTGCCAAAAAACGCCCAGATTTTCTCGGCCCGCTTCTCCGGCGTGTTCTCGTCCTCGGGGAGGTTCCCCTGGTCCGCCGCCGGGATCATGTTGAATATCGACTGCGGAGGAAATCCCGTTTTTAAGACACCTTCAAAAGCTTGAGGAGGATTGAAAAACCAGCCAAGACTTTGCAAACAAACAAACATCCACAACCAACCGTCTTAAGAGCCTTTTATAGTATTAATCAAACGGAAAAATATAGCTGGTAAATACAAAACTTCATGTTTACATAATCAAAAATATAATTTTTTAATACTCTGAATTTTTCACATGTTTTTTTGGCTATTAATCTATGCATATAAAGTCATACATGAAAAGATTAATTCCAGCTTTTTTAGATTATTTAAGATGGGTTTTTTTTTAAGCTTTGAAATGTTTTGGAAGGCAATTACAATTTGAGAAATATAGCCATGGTTTAGTAATAGTACACTTGTGTCTCCCCAGCTACTTTTTCTGTCTGTGTCCTCTGTTTGGCTAATAAATTAAACCCAGAAGCCCATTTGTGTACTTTAAGAGGCCCTAAAAGCTGCAGTCACATCCCCAACCACT